AGATCTGGACAGAGAATGACCTTACCAGGGCTCATGTTCAGAAAACATAGACTTCCTTCTTGAAGTTGACAGAAACCATTATATGAGTGATTGATTATGGCGCCAAAGTTCTTCAGAGTTTCCAGCCATTTCAAGACAGAAACAATACACATCACACAATGTAGGAAATATGACCCAGGTGTAGGTCATCACTAATCAGGGGATGTGATCCGGGAGTAGTTCATGGCTAGGCATGGTATATGATCTGGATGTAGTTCATGGCTAGGCATGGTATATGATCTGGGTGTAGTTCATGGCGAGGCATGGTATATGATCTGGGTGTAGTTCATGGCTAGGCATGGTATATGATCTGGGTGTAGTTCATGGCTAGGCATGGTATATGATCTGAGTGTAGTTCATGGCTAGGCATGGTATATGATTTGGGTATATGATCTGGGTGTAGTTCATGTCTAGGCATGGAAAATGATCAAGATGTAGTGCATGGCTAGGCATGGTATATGATCTGAGTGTAGTTCATGGCTAGGCATGGTATATGATTTGGGTCTAGTTCATGGCTAGGCATGGTATATGATCTGGGTGTAGTTCATGGCTAGGCATGGTATATGATCTGGGTGTAGTTCATGGCTATGCATGGTATATGATCTGGATGTAGTTCATGGCTAGGCATGGTATATGATCTGGGTGTAGTTCAAGGCTAGCCATGGTATATGATCTTGGTGTACTTCAAGGCTATGCAGAGGATGCGATTCAGGTGTAGTTCATCACTAAACATGGAATATAACCCATCTGTACTTCAGGGCTAAGTAAGGAATATGATCCAGTTGTAGTTCAGGGCTAAGGAAGGAATATGACCCAGCTGTAGTTAAGGGCTGAGTAAGGAATAGGTCCCAGCTGTAGTTCAGGGCTAAGTAAGGAACATGACCCAGCTGTAGTTCAGGGCTAAGTAAGGAATATGACCCAGCTGTAGTTAAGGGCTGAGTAAGGAATATGATCCAGCTGTAGTTCAGGGCTAAGTAAGGAATATAACCCAGCCGTAGTTCAGGGCTAAGTAAGGAATATGACCCAGCTGTAGTTCAGGGCTAAGTGAGGAACATGACCCAGCTGTAGTTCAGGGCTAAGTGAGGAACATGACCCAGCTGTAGTTCAGGGCTAAGTGAGGAACATGACCCAGCTATAGTTCAGGGCTAAGTGAGGAACATGACCCAGCTGTAGTTAAGGGCTAAGTAAGGAATATAACCCAGCCGTAGTTCAGGGCTAAGTAAGGAATATGACCCAGCTGTAGTTCAGGGCTAAACAAGGAATATGACAAATTCAACTTTCTTTGTACGAAGTTGGTCAAGCACTGGAATAGACAAAAAATCTTGGCTGGGTAACATTGACATATATTCATTTTGCCAGTCTGTTCGTGGATTGTCTTTGGCACCACACCACAACACATGTTGCATTGTGCAACAGCTTATGCCAATATCGCATGAAAGGGTGTTTTTTGAGTGTTTCAAGCCAAGCGGCAATAGAAATTCATCCCAGGATACTGCAACATGAAACTAATGCTGGCATTTACCAACAAGAGAGTCCTGATACTGCTCCATCAACAGTCCAACAGTGCATACAATTAACAATGTCACATAGAATAGAACTCATCATCTAGGAGGGGTTACACATTATCTGTTCTAGCTTTTGGAATGGAACTCACTAATGCAAGTCCTAGAGACAGTAATTCGGAGACTTGAGTGAACTATTGTATATATTCTGCATTTGACATAGAGGTGCTGCAGCACAGCTGTTTTTATTGTCACATCAAAACGTCTGCAAAGTCTTCAACAATGGAGACATCAGGCTAGATTATTGGAGACAGTACACACATTATTCAGTCAAAAGTCACTTCCTCAACAATCAAAATCATAAGACATGAATCAGATTGAATGACAGTAAACTACGGTTATAACGAACATGCTTATAATGAACTGACCAATACAACAAACTTAGTTTTAATCCAGGCCATTTGTTGTATATATGCTGTATATATGCTTATTTCGAACTACGGTTATTAGGAACTAAAATTAGCGGTCCCTTTGAGTTCATTATAACTGTAGTTAAATGTATTCTTTTCAGTGAGAATTGCCGATAATTGACATATGTACATGTGAACATAACGGCATATCTAAGGAGTGTATGTATACATTATTGAAAGTTTTACGATATACTGTAATCAGGGTATGAAACTCCCAAAAATTTCAGCCAGACCACAGGACTGGCTAGCTGAAATACTTGCCAGCCCTGACCAAAACCTGCCTGCCCACTATAATCATATGTTTTTCAGGATTATTTAATTAAAAATATGAAAACTGATTGCTTGTAGCATAGGCACATCGCTAAATGTTAGGTTGTCTAAAAGCTAACTGGGTTTCTTTTTGGTTACATTTTATCATTCATCTTTACATGTGAATTAATGCTTATCATCGGGAAATATTTAGAATATTTTCACCTATGAAATATAACCCGACCGTCGGGCAGGGGGATTTGAAAATCTGACAGCCCGAGTTGAAATCAACCCGTCTCGGAGGGTCGGGCAGGCAGGTATTTCGAACGCTGCTGTAATTAACTGTCAATTTACAGATCAACGTAGTGACTGAGTGAGTGAGTTTGGCTTAACGCCACACTGAACAGTATTACAGGCATGTCACAACATCACAGGGAAGCGCTGATGGGGGAGGAAAACCCAAACTCAAGCAGGTCTTAGACGATTTTCATGTCGGTGAAATGCCTGAACACAGATATGCTGACACAGCGAGAAACATATTCAGGGTGAATTTGGGATGCTAACCCATGATCATAGGATTCTGATGTGTCTAAGGGATGCAACTCTGCACAGCGACCTCTGCCTCCTTGGACAACTTGGCCAGTCATGCCCTCTGTAGATGTTGGATATTCATCGATCGTCAATCCACGAACAAGCACTTTTTCATCATAGGATCTGTGCAGTGACAAGAAGTTATAAAGCTGAAGCAATTTGTTAACAAACCTTTGATAACTTGGCTTTCATTTTCCAAATCAATCATGATCTTGTCTGATTAATGGTGACCAGAGCAGTTTCTACATAATGGACGGTCTGTTCTCCAGCATGATGTAGAAAAAGGACAAGAAGCGTGGAACACTATTACCAAGCTGCAACCTTCAAAGGTTGGACTGATCAGTGGGGACATGTGAGAGCCGATACAACATTTACCATCAACATGCTTCTACATGAACATGACAGGAGGCTGTGACCACCTGGTCTGTCTCCAAGATGACCTACACTATTAGTACGTTAACCAAGAATATCTCAAACTTAAATTACTTACCATCACTTTGCTACATAATCAAATGAAAACTGATGTGACCACCTGGTCTATCTACAAGATGACCTACAAGATGACTACAACATGACCTACAAGTTGACCTACAAGATGACTACAAGATGACTACAGGATGAACTACAAGATGACTACAGGATGAACTACAAGATGATCTACAAGATGACCTACAAGATGACAAGATGATCTACAAGATGACTACAAGATGACTACAAGATGACTACAAGATGACTACAAGATGACCTACAAGATGACCTACAAGATGATCTACAAGATGACCTACAAGATGACTACAAGATGACCTACAAGATGACCTACAAGATGACTACAAGATGACCTACAAGATGACCTACAAGATGACTACAAGATGACCTACAAGATGACTAAAATAAGATCTACAAGATGACAAGATGATCTACAAGATGACCTACAAGATGACCTACAATTAGAATGATCTGAACTAACAATATTTCAAACCCAAATGACAGTGAGTGAGTGAGTGAGCAAGTTGGCTTCAATGCTGCTTTTCAGTGTTTCGGTTACATCCTTGTGTGACAGCTTAACATTGGGAGCAGGTCACATGTACCACTCTTGTCACACCGAATGTCATTTTCATGCTGTTGTCAGGAGCACATACAAGAAACAAGTGAGGTTTTCCCACCTCACGCATTCGCATAAGGCTTGGGAAGCAAGATGCTACTTCTTGCACAACTTGTTATAGAACTAAAGCTTGTTTACAGGGACAGACAGATTAGAGGTATGATGGCTGAGAGTTCTTTATAAAATGACTTGTCTCATGTATGGTTGTTGGTTGGTTGGTTTGTTGTTTAACGCCGCACTCAACAATATTCCAGCTACATGACGATGGTCTGTAAATAATCAAGTCTGGATCAGACAATCAAGTGATTGACATCATGAGCATCGATCCAAGCAATTGTGATACGATGACATGCATCAACCATGTCATTGAGCCTGATCCGCCGATACCGTTAGTCGCCTCTTATGAGCAAGAATTGTGACATGCATTATGATAATGATCATGGTATGCCTTACAGGAACTCATGGCTAGTGTATACGGTAGGGTTGATGATGCAACCCTTGCCTTTCAGTTGGAGCATCTAATCACCATCTGTTCCCGTTATCATCAAGAATAATTGATGAATTTACAAAAAGTAGACATGAAGCCATGAGTGAGTGAGTGAATGTTGTTTGATCCAGACATTCTTCAAATAGTCAAGCCTGTGCCAAGCAGACCAGAGAAAGTTATGTCACTAAGATATCATGAAACATAATCTGCTTAATAACCCATTGCAACAACCCAATTCATCAATCAGCTCTGAGGTGAAAGAGTGAGTATTGTTTTATGCCTCTGCTAGTAATATTCAAAACAGGGGATATAATATGAGGCTTAGTATTCATTTTTTACAAGGTGAGTGAGTGAGGATTTACGCTGCTGTTAGCAATATTCCAACAATATCAAAGCAGGGGACACCAGATATGGGTTTCACGTATTGTACCTAAGATTGAATCGAACCCAAGTCTTCGACATGACAAGCGGATTCTTTAAACACGAAGCAACCCCACTGTCCCTTTTTCATAAGGAAATCCAACTGTTGTAATATGCCCCAAGGAGAGGGGTTTTCCTACCTGCTTGAATCCCCTGTACATTATCTGCAGTTCCTTGCGTGTGAACTTGGTGTTGCGGCAGAGGACGTCAATCCCCTCCGGCTTGTATCGCACCACCTGCATTTCCAGGTCATCAATGTCATGATCTGCAAACAAAGTAGACCCCATTACAACCTGGAGGACGACTGCACATCAAACAGACAGAAGCAATATTCCAGCAAATATCACAGCGGGGGACGTCAGAAACTGGCTTCCCCCATTGTACCCAGAATCTATAAAGAAAATGAAAACATGCAAGTCAGGATACAACAATAACAATACTGGTATGTTGAATGGTCTGAAATTCAAAATAACTGCAATCTAAATGTGGTTTAGTGATCCATTCATATAACTGCCACCATTAGTTTGCCATTCATGCCCAACTGAAACTGTTTCAGTGGACAATCGAGGGACTGGTTATTCTCTGGTGATGATGTTTTATATTTTCCTGCATTGTCACCTTCATTACTACATCTAATGATAGTAAAAATGTCAGTTCAGGTCAGCATATGAGTGAGTGAGTGAGCTGGGTTTGATCCTGCATATAATTTATGTTAGTAATATCACTGAGTGTCAGTCTCAATGGAGGAGGAAGCCCAGTGACACATAAGCACTGTTTACCACCTCATGACTATGGTGCAGACATGACAAAATAAAGGATCACAATTTAACCTGAATGGCCTCCTCAAATGACCCAAAACATTTACCACAGACTCTGATTATAAGCCTAAATATCATACTGTCCATGTACTTATCATTCACTTGAGAATAGGTGATATATCTCATTCATAATTGTATTCAATAAAATATGTGAGGTGAAATGAGGTTCTAATGAAGCATTCAAGATTATTGCACTTATATAGTGACCTAATGTATAATTAATCCGTGACATAGGCTATGGGATATACATGACCTCCCACCCCTATTAATCCGTGACATGGGCTATGGGATATACATGACCTCAGACATCTATTGATCCGTGACATAGGCTGTGGGATATACATGACCCCCAACATCTATTAATCCCTGACATGGGCTATGGGATATACATGACCTCAGACATCTATTAATCCCTGACATGGGCTATGGGATATACATAAACTCAGACATCTATTAATCCCTGATATGGGCTATGGGATATACATAAACTCAGATATCTATTAATCCCTGACATGGGCTGTGGGATATACATGACCCCCAACATCTATTAATCCCTGACATGGGCTGTGGGATATACATAACCATCGACATCTATTAATCCCTGACATGGGCCGTGGGATATACATGACCACCGACATCTATTAATCCCTGACTGTGGGACATATATCGGTATTGTAAACAACATATACGACCTCCGACTTCCATTAATCCCTGGCTGCGGGATATACATCAGTATTGTATACAACATATACAACCTCCCAACTCTATTAATCCCTGACTGTGGGATGCACATTGGTATTGCATATGTAGCAGGGCGTGGAGTCATCCCAGAGATTACATCCTTACCTGATCAGAAGGTCCGTGGTTCGAATCCCAGAAGGACTCGGAAATCTGATAGCCGCAACACATACAACATATACAACCTCCCAACTCTATTAATCCCTGACTGTGGGATACATCTCGGTATTGTATACAACATATACGACCTCCTACCAATATTAATCCCGGACTGTGGGATACACATCTGTATCAATGACAACATCGATGACCTCCCACTTTTATTAATGCCAGACTGTAGGACATGCCACATCTATCAGTGCCTCAGGCCAGAGGTACAGACACATAACATTTTAATAATTTTTTAGCAGGTATATAGGATAGATTCCTTATTGAAATTGAGAAATAATCACTTGACACGGAGTCTGACTGGCATGGAATAGGTGACGTATCCTTTGCTGACTTACATCTAATCTTTCTAATGATGGGAAAACAACTATTCACACAGCGAGTATGTGAGTGAATGAGTGAGACATTTTAGGAAAACATTACCACACCCTTTGCCAAGCATTCACGTTCAAGTCACAACACCTAGACATATCTCATCAACATGTTTGTTTTTCTTTAACAACACTTTCTGTCATGCATTATCTGTAAATTGCATTTACAAACGTAAAGAAACTAAATTAACTTAAAGTTAGATACAAAAAGCTGTTAGACAAATACCAAGCTACTGACGAACAACCTGAGTGTGAGTCGAAAGAAAAAAACGCAAAGCCACCTGGATTCCTAACAGGGATAGTGTCCCCGGAGGTATCGTTAATCAGGTTCACCACAAAACTAGATCCACCAGCCCAGGTTCTTGTCCAAACGGACAAACACTTCATGAAATGTTGAATAAATAAACATGGTGGAGAGCAGAACATGGAAATGAGTTCATTTAATCTGCCATGTCTTGGGTGGCCACCTCCACTTGGTGTACAACGGGAACACGGTGGAGGGGTCCCCAGACAGCTGACAGGTGCTGCATGAGGAATCAAAGAGAGGAACTGGCTGTCAGCAACACCATTTGCATCTTCCTTTTTTATCTTTAGAATGGAAAATATCGACAAAGCATCAATGAAGAAAAGTTGACTAAATGCCAGGAACCACTCCTGGATGTCTTTAATTTCAGCACTACAATGATCGGTTTGAGTATATCAGCACTACAATGATCGGTTTGAGTATATCAGCACTAAAATGATCAGTTTGAGTATTTCAGCACTACAATGATTGGTTTGAGTATTTCAGCACTACAATGATCGGTTTGAGCGTATTTCAGCACTACAATGATCAGTTTGAGTATTTCAGCACTACAATGATTGGTTTGAGTATTTCAGCACTACAATGATCGGTTTGAGCGTATTTCAGCACTAAAATGATTGGTTTGAGTATTTCAGCACTATAATGATCAATTTGAGTATTTCAGCACTACAATGATCAGTTTGAGTATTTCAGCACTACAATGATCGGTTTGAGTATTTCAGCACTACAATGATCAGTTTGAGTGTACTTCAGCGCTACAATGATCAGTTAGGGCGTATTTCAGCACTACAATGATCAGTTTGAGCGTATTTCAGCACTAAAATGATTGGTTTGAGTATTTCAGCACTACAATGATAGATTTGAACATATTTCAGCACTACAATGTTCGGTTCGAGTATTTCAGCACTACAATTATCAGTTTGAGCTAATTTCAGCACTACAGTGATTATTTCCACTACAGTTTGGTAACAAATGACCAACATTGCTGCAGCAGTCAGTGAGTACGTTGTGTGTTTACATCATTATCAGCAATATTTCATCACAAGGGGACACGCGAAATGCCAGGGCATCTCACATTGTACCCATGCTGCGAATCAAATCCTGGTCTTCAGTCTGACAAGTCAAGCTTCAACAATGAGGCCATCCCACTGCCTGTACTGTTGTTTTGCAACACAAAATGGACCCAACCTTATGAAATGCTTTAACTTACATGTACTGGTACGTTATGTTTGTTGTTTAACACCGTACTCAGCAATATTCCAGCTATGTGATGGCAGTCTGTAAATAATCAAGTCTGGACCAGACAATCTAGTGATTGACATCATGGGCATCGATCTACACAACTGGGATACAATAACATGTATCAACCAAGTCAGCCAGCCTGACCACCCGATCCCGTTAGTCGCCTCTTATGACAAGCATAGTTGCCTCTTAAGGCAAACATGGGTTGCTGAAGACCTGTTCTAACCCAGATCTTCACGGGTCTGTATGTTATATATCACGTATAGCAACGATTGAGAACATAACAGAGAAATCCTGCAAAAATATAGTCAAAGGTTCCATACATATTTGATAAAGATATTCATCATATTATTTAAACAATATTGTTATCAAAACAAGTAGGTAAGAATGTTATATAGTACTCCATATCAACCCAGTGACCTTGGTGTCAATGTTTTATACATCAACAATGTGATCAACAGACTATCTGTTGCTACAATTATCTACACAGTTTATGTCTTGCCTGGATTAGCATGGCCAGGATCAATACTCAGGTAACAGTATACCTGACAGATGTTCAACCAACCAGAACGAGATAATTACATGGCCACAACACAGGATCATCAAGGGGGATATTCCGATCCTGCTACCCCTCCTTATGTACCTGTCCACCAATCACAGGTACTAATGGTAGATCAGAATTCCAGTAAAACCTCCATTGCAGTAGTTATCACATCATACCTCAGACACACACCTGCACAAATAATTCATAATGTATTGAACAGTCTCCATATTCCTCATCGTGAAATGAAGTTTACCTTTTGGTTTCATGATGGTATCTCATTAACTATATCACCGTGTTATTCAAAGGAGCTCTTTTTATACTCAGCAGTTCTTCAAAGAAATAACCACAATGGACCCAATGTCCCAACCAGGTAAGCTCCAGCGGTCAAACGGCGACACTTGATGTCGACAGTGGTACAACCTCCATGGTATGCCAAGGAACAGCTAGTTTGGCCATTATGAGTGACAAGGAAACAATTCTTGTGACGATACAACTGCTTGGAACTGTCGATATGTCCTCCACCTGGCCAAGTTGGCACGGAAATGGCTCCAAGTCACCAGAAACAATGCGACGTCAGACCTTCTCCCGTGAAGCATACAACACAATGATAAATGTTTAATCAGATGTGGAAGTTTGCGTGTTGACTTTTGACTCATGCCCCTAATCAATGTGTTAACAAGCAAGACAACACCATATAGACATCTGCAATCATCCCTATCGTGCCGTGAACATCCACAGAACGTGGTGTTTTATTGTCGGAGCAGACGCGTCATTTTCTAGATAAACTTTCCTTATTTATAGACCTACGTTTTAAATACAATTACATCCCCTGTATGAACTACTATACATAACATGTCATTGATAGGCATGATGAAGCAAAGACCACACACCAACATCTGCAGTCATCCCTATCGTGCCATGAACATCCATAGAACATGGTGTTTTTCATGTTAGCAGACTCATCACTTTCCAAGTCCTTGTTTCCGTTTATAGAGCTGAGGCAACCTAAATAATTTACAACATGCTATATCCATCTTATTAACCATACATGTTTTCGTTTGTTTGTTTGTTGTTTAACGC